TCCCCCAAAATATTAGCAGCACAACTATACGACATTCCATAGCATCATTCAAATTCAAAGCATAATATATTGGTCAATGACCATCAATAATGGAGACACTAAGCTGTATTACCAGGCTTTTACAAAATGGCCAACTAAGTAAACTACTGCTGACATTTCTGGCACACTTTCTAAAATTGACCTGCCTCTTATAGTAATTGATGGGGGATACCACAGTGAACATATTGATATCAAAATGGCACCAGGGGCGGACTGACCATTTGGAAACTCGGGCACTGCCCGGGGCCCGGGGTCAGTAGGGGGCCCCATGAGATGCCCCTGGTACCTTTTTCATAGGCTTTTTTGAATTTGGGCAAGGACACAGGGGCCCCATGATCCCCTATTGCCCGGGGGCCCCATGAGTTGTCAGTCTGCCCCTGAATGGCACACATGGTTTAGACGTACTACGATAACCAAACAAATAAAATTATGGATACTTCTTCTGACATTCAGTGGCCTCTATGAGAATTACTGTATTATGTATTTGCTCCAAGTGCTTGAACAATGCTGTGTGTATGATGATGGCTTTAAGCTTAGATATATACAAATAGTAAAAAAAAAAACCTCACTCAGTTGCTGGAAAAATGCAGGCAATTTGGAACTATAATAAATGTTATCCAAAATGTCAAAGACACATACAGTATGTAAAGAAGTTGAAAAGGACAGAACAAGCAGATCTTATCTTCTGTCATATTCAGTGTTTTTATTTCAGATAAAAAGAACACACACAACATATTTATGTGTCCCAATCAAGTTGAAAAAAGCCATTTTTATGAAACACCACACTACTCTCAGCCAACTCATGCAAAGCAAAGAACGATTTCCAGGCATTCTATTATCTGAAAAATCTCTGATAATTTCCTGAGAAACTCTGAAAAGATGCAAAAATAAATCTTGCTTTCAGTTCAGTTCAAGTGAAATCTGACAAAAAAAAAAATGAAATACAGTGATTGCCAAAGAAACAGATTTTTTTTAACATAAGAGGAAATGTAACAAATGTTCATGGCATGGTCACAGAATAGAGTATTCTCTTTGATTTTTTCTGTAGGACCTAATATAGATGAGTGCTTCACACATTTTGTCAAAGACAGAAGCAGACTAAGTGCCTCCCTCTTGCCATTTAGAAAAGTTCCAGGACATTTAGCTATGCAGTAACTCAGACTATCCCAGGGCTCTGCTGCCATCAATCTAGGAGTAGCTTGTTAGAGGGCTTGCTATTCTATAAGAAACTGCCTTGGGTGGTTTATAATTTGAGGAGTAGCTGTGTAGCGTTGTGTAGAAGCTGTAATAAATTAGCTATACAGTAGGCTACTTATACATTTAGCTTGCATGAATTCGTGTTCGGAGGAGGGAAAGTTTGGTACTTTCATCTTCAAGGTTGTTGAGTGAAAGCAGATGCTAGATATATTGGGGATGGGGTGAGGGGGGGGAATGAACATATCAGACAAGGGAGGAAATGCAGCTCTAATTGATAAGTACATAAAGGATCAGCCAAAAATTTCATAGTGTTTGAATATCTACAGCCAGACATGTCAACATGTAGATTACCATAACCATGTGTACAGCCATACTAGCTTTATAAACCAGTGCACAGCAGGCCACAGGAGCATAAAAAAGGTTAAAAGCACACATCTATATATTACTTGAGTAACTCAAATACTTTTTTTTTTATTTGTGATAGAGGTGATGATGTGTGAATACTTATTTTTAAAAGGAATATACAGAATTTTAATTGAAATATATATTTCATATAAATGTAGCTCATACCCCCACAAGAGCCGCTGGGTTCTCTATTCTGGCATGACTCTTTAAACTCCTAGGAACCCACTGACACACATGTGTAACTTAAACGTTAATATACTGCCGCTTTATAATAATTCACAGAAAATTGGCCACAAGAACTGGATAGGTAGTTTTAAAGGATGTATTTTTTCAATGGAGTAAAACAATGCATGAATAAACAAACAGGCAATTGAGCAAGTTTCCTGTACTAAAGGATTCGAATGCTGACTCATAAGATGGCAATCAACTGAACTGCAGTGATGATAAACCAAATTATATCTGATGCAAACAGGGTTGAAAAAATTGCCATCAATTAACCCCAAAAAGATAAAGGTCCCCATGTGCACACTATGCATACAGCCCCAATAGCAGATGGGTTTATGCGTTTCTAACAAAGGAGTAGTACCCCTATAAAGTATCTTGTTCTCAAGTGTAAGTTTAGCTGGATTTCTTTGGGGCCCTTCTGTAAGGTGGTGCATGTGGAGTTGTCCCACTTGTAATGGAAGACTGGAAGAGCAGTCTCTATTGCATTAACTGTGCCAGTGTTGAGATAAGCACAAATTGTCAGGAACCATCGCGACGCATGGGTCTACACATGCGTAGGTGTCTGCCGAGACGTATAGGTGGCAGGGCACTAGGACCCAGGCGCGCACCCGTCGCCTGGACAGTACTAGGCAGGCACTGGGACCCAGGCTGTCAGGTGCAGGGCGGGCTATTTAGCTAGCCCTGCACAGACACTTGTTGCCGAATGGTCTTTGTATCCTGTTACCTGTGTGTGAGTACTTCTGATCTGGATTGTTTTGACCTTGTTGCCTTCTCCCGTACTGACCCCTTGGCTTGCCTGACTCTGCTCCCGGATGTTCCCTCCTGGTATTGACCCTGCGTGTGACCCGACTATCCTTTGCCTACCGTTTTGTACCTTACCAATCCTCTAGTTACCGTCCCGGCCTGCATGACTCTGATTTAGCTCATCCATCCATCCACCCCGCAGGGATCACTAGACTCTCTTACATAAGCCTCCTAGCTCTCTGGAGCCCCTGTCAGACTCCTCTACCCCTGTTGGAGATACCTGGTAGTTGCGACCTGGTACCGGAGCGCTCCAAGTCCATCCCCACCATCAGGGGCCCTGGTGAACAAGTGCTCCGGTGCTTAGACTCCGCATGCTGGGGAGGCTCTACCGGGGGACTGATAGAGGTGCTGTCAGGCGGTCCCTTACACAAATGATTCAGCTTACTTGTCCTGGTACAGGAATCTGCTCCAGATCACTTGGCGATCTGCTGTCCTTGGCTACCCAGGACCCTGTGACTCAGTCCTCCTGAACACATTAATTCAAGGCTCAGTCTCTCAGCTCTGCTCCATATGGGCTCTGACTTTTCTGATGTAGGCACATATACGGCAATTAGTCTCCCAGCTCTGGTCCCAAGGCACCACCAGCGACCCCTCTGCAGCTCAGTCTTCAGGTTCTTATGGACACAGCAAAGGCAACAGGTCCACATTCTCTGGTCCTTACACTGTTTTAAGATGGCACCCTGGTCTCTGCACTGTCCTAGTGAAGGCCCCACATCAGTATGTTCACAAAAGACCCAGATCCCTCCAGAATTGCCTGGGAAAGTCCTGTCTCTCTTCCTCTAATGTGCAGGGAATACTGGGTAGTGAAGTTCACAGCTCCATCAGCCTTCTTTCACTTGAATTGCACTGTGCCCCTTTAAGGAATATACTTCCCAGAATCCTTGCCAGAAGCAGCATAGCAAGACCTCTTGCTGGTGATTGGCTCATATCCTCTACTGTCAGGAGGGAGTGGGGGCAGGAGCGAGCAGGGGATTGTACACAGTGCCTGCTCTGCTCACATAGCAGGGAAGGGATGAGAGGAACACAGCCTGCTGTCCTCACACAGCTGGGAAGTGAGGGGTGAGAGACAGCTGCTGCATAACACACAAAAGTCCTGGCTCTGTCACCGCTCACAGCGGGGGGGAGAAGCAAGAGAGAGCTGCACATAGCTGGCAGAGCACCCAGCTACGTAAATGTAATTTGCAAATAAATTCTTTCCAAATCAGCCAATGTGATTGTCTGGATTTTTTTTTCTCATTTTGTCTCTCATAGTTGAGGTCTACCTATGAAGCCAATTACAGGCCTCTCTTATCTTTTTAAGTGGGAGAACAATTGGTGGCTGAAAATACTTTTTTGCCCCACTGTATGTGACTGATGAATGAATGAGCTTTGGGTTCAGGTTGTACCATGAGTTTGACTCAAACTCAACAAGTATGCAGCTCAGGAAATGGAGAACTAATGTGTTTGTTTGCAGCCTTAGTAACCAATTACCCATCATGCAATTCCTAACCTTTGAACTGTGATCAGGTATCTTAAAGGCTAAATTTGCCTTTTACATAAACTAGCCTATGCAGACAAGTGGTCCCAGTGGTTTAAAATACCCTGTGCTGTTGGTAAAAAATATTGTTTAATGCAAATGCCATACCTGTAGGCCTTTTCAGTCACCCACAAAGTTTATATAATAGCCCCTGGAAATGCCCAGTTGTGAAGAAACGCATAGGAAAGTGCTTTGGATACTGACACCATCATGTTGTATAGCACCAGCCTGTGATGACATCCTTTGAATTTTTATTTAGTTCTATTTAGGAACTGTGTTTTTTTTTCTTATGTCACCCTCAAATAAAGGTAGACCCTCTCTCTGTTGAACATGTCTCCCATGGCAGTGTCCAGCTTTTAGCCTTGAAAATTGCCACAGCTGATTTACAAGTGTAGGGATCTGATGCTCTCTACTGTATAAATTTGTAAATGCCTGTAAATATATGTAAAATAAATAAAATAAATGTAAATAAATATGTATGCACTTCTTGTCCCTGGGTTGTTGGCTTTGGAACCCTGGAAGAAGGTCTCAGCAACATGTCCTGCCCATGCTGCTAGACCACAAACCAAGATGCATAAGGTTGGGAGAGTGCATGTGATCAGCACAGGGCCAGTCAGCACTGTACAGATAGAGGTCAGGGATCCTGCAGCCTCCTAGAGCAGAATGAAAACCCCTCCTACAAGCTTTAACCAGTGTTCTGCTGGACACTGATAGAAGTCACAAGACTGCTCTATACTGCTGATGGGAAAAAGGTATTTAGCAGTTTATATTTTCTAACATAATTGCATTTCCATGTTCATGTTCTGTGTACTGTGGGAGAGTGGATATAGTGAATGCGGGGTCCGGGGAGAACGGATATAGTGAATGCGGGTTCGGGAGAGTGGAAATAGTGAATGCAGGGTCCGGGGAGAGGGGATATAGTGAATGCAGGGTCCAGGGAGACCAGATATAGTGAATGCGGGGTCCGGGGAGAGCGGATATAGTGAATGCGGGGTCCGGGGATTATTATGAAAGCATTCATATAATCTAATAGTTTAACTGTGGTTGACTGACAGAGTATCTTTCCTCTAGTTACTACTTCACAAGCACAGTGCCAAATAGCTAGGTCTGTGCTACTGTATGTTTAAAAGTTTAATGGTCACCTTACAATTTATTGGTAGGTGAACCTGTTTATTGCAATATAGTTTATATGCAGCTCCTGTTATTCTAGTTAATCCTGTCCCTTCTGGTCTGGGATTTTATAGTTTTAGTTTAGGGCTTGATAACCAGTGCTTTGTGTATCCAATCTAAGCATTGATAGTGTGATCTCTGTAACTTACAGTTGTGATGAGATAGCGATAACTTCAACCTCAGTTGGGGTCCACAGTCAGTAACTCAATCAGAATGATATCTTGCAGATCTTGTGAAGTTTATTCCATAAACTGAGAGAATCTTACAATGAACATTCGATAGGTCGAAAGAACATACTGTTTCTGCTTCTTGCCATGAGGCTGTTGCAATGCATCTCTGGGAAGGGAGGAGGGCTATCTATGCAACATTAGCTAAACTAAAGGAAAGGGAGGAGCAGAGACAAAACACTGAAAACATTTAAAGGCATATGACAGTCAATATGACAGTCATGTGAAACATGACACTCCCTGTCGAAGTCTGTGATTTCTGTTATAATAAACTTTAGTTCAAGTCCAATATATTAATAAAGATTCTTTCCATGAACATCTGAAAAACAAGAGGGAAGGGAAGAACAAGGGAAAACAACGAAAACATTTAGCATAATACTTGCAGACGTTGGTCTCAAAAGTCCAAGCTGAGACATGGAAGTCCATATTCAGAGTGGAAGGCAGCAACATGCACGAGTCCTTCTTACCTCCCTTTAAATCAGGTTGATGACTTGTCTTCCTCTTTGGGCAAAAGAAGTACTAGTTCCTTTATAGGCCTGAAGTAAAAGGTGTGAAGAATCTTCTTTCATGACTTTAACTTCAACCTTGCGTACCTTTCCATCATTACTTGGCATAGTCTTTGTAATAAGACCCATGGGCCAATGGTTACAGTGGGAATCTGTATCCTTCAAAAGAACTACGTCTCCCAGTTGTAGATTGGGTTTGCTAGTTTGCCATTTATTATGTCTTTGAAGGTTAGAAAGGTACTCCATCTTTCAGCGATTCCAAAACACATCAGCAAGATGTTGAACCCGTTGCCATTGATGCTTGTAAATGTTAGGGTATTTAAGTTCCTCTGTGGGAATGGTGGCTACTCCAATTTTTTGGGTAAGAAGAGTGGCTGGAGTGAGCAACACTGGGAACTCTGGATCTGAGGACACAGGGACCAATGGCCTTGCATTGATTATAGCAGACACTCCTGCAAGAAGAGTGACTAAGATTTCATGAGTAAATTGAGAAGTTTTCTGGTCCAGTAGCATAGAGTCCAGGATCTTTCTTGCAACTCCAATCATGCGTTCCCAAGAGCCTCCCATGTGAGAGGAATGAGGTGGGTTGAATTCCCATTTACACTTGTTGCCATTCAAAAAGTTTACTATCTTTTCTGCTCCTGTAAAATTAGTGCCACAGTCAGATCTAAGTAACTTTACAGGTCCTCATACAGAAACAAATCTTCTGAAAGCATTAATGAAACAAGAAGAGTTCATTGATTTTATCACTTCAATGTGCACTGCATGAATGCTCAAGCAAGTGAAAAGCACAGCCCATCGCTTATTGTTAGCAACTCCGCCACGAGTGTAACAACAGTCCAGGGGCCAAATATGTCCATGCCAACATTGGTAAATGGTGGTTCAGTGCTTAATGGGTCAGCTGGCAACTGCCATTTGCTGTTGTAGGCGTTTCCCTCTTAGTTTTTGACACTTAACGCATTTGTGGAGTATGGATGAGATACACCTTTTCATCCCGACAATCCAGAAACCTGCAGACCTTACTGCTCCCACATTAAAGTGACGACCTTGGTGCTGAACTTGCTCATGGAAATGTCTAAGTAACAGAGCAGTAATGTGATGACGTTCTGGAATAATGAGGGGATTTCTTTCTTCACTGGACAAATGGGATCTTCCAATGCGACCACCGACTCGCAATAGCTTGTTGTGATCAATTATGGGAATTAATTTGTACAGAGAGCTATCCTTACATAGGTTGAGTCCCTTTGATATGTTAGCAATCTCTTGTGAGTACACTTCATGTTGGACACATTGAATAATGACCTTTTCTGCTTGAAAGACCTCCTCAATTGTGGGAGGGGCTTTACAAATGTGCCAGTTGTGACACACCTTTTCAGTGCTAGAGCGGTTTGCAAACTGATGAGCAATGTGAATAAGACATGCAATGGCTCGTACAACAGAGAACCACTTAGAAAAGCGTTCAAAACGGTTGGGACTCAGTCCTACCCTTGCTTTCATAGAGGTGTTGAGTGTGATGGTAACAGTTCTGATTTCCTTATCAGATTCCGGATGAACCAGTTCAAAGGTAGAATTTGTTGAACTTGAGATAAGTTTATCATTCAAGAGTACTGGTGGATATAGCCAAGATGTGTCCAGTGGTAGGTACTTCATGGCTGCCGCGGTCAGCAGGGTTGAGGCTAGTGGGAACATAGTGCCATTGTTCAGGTGTCAGGGATCTCCTCCTCGATCCCCGCCGCGTACACAGGGGTACGAAATGGTAGAGGTGCTACCCAACTTTTGGAATCATCTTGGTAGAACTCTTTACTCATGGTTTTCAAGAATTCTTTGTCTTCTATGGTAGCTGCTAACTCATTGTCTTTAGTGATTACATCGAACACTGTGTTGCCGATGTTGTCATCCCAGAGATTAAGAGCTTTCTTATTGTTTTGTATAATGTGCTGTTGTGCACCTTTTTTAAACAGTATTTCTTTCACAATATATTTATGTGGTCATTGTGCGGAACAAGTTGTTCGTCCATTTGTTTCAAAGGAAGAGACTGAGTAGGACCTCCTGTCCTTGTCTAGGCAGACATTGCCTATGATGACCCATCCTAGATCCAGACGTGAGCATATGGAGCATTGTGTGGACCATTGATTTGATGATGAACTTTGTGCACCCTTAGGATGTCTCGACCAAATAACAGCAGGATATCGGCACTTTCATCGAGGGCTGGTATTTGGTTGGCTATGTGCCTTAAGTGAGAATGGTGAAAAGCAGCTTCAGGAGTAGGGATCTCCTCTTTGATGCTTGGAATCTGGTTGCACTCAGTGATAGTAGGCAAAGATATTTCCACATTGTCATTCAGAGGAGCAACTATAAGACCACTGACTCTCCTGCCTAAGACTTCTGTAGTGCTGGAACAAGTGCTTAAAGTATAAGGCAGAGCATCTCCAGTTATGTTCAACAGTTCAAAAAACTGTGTCCTTGCAAGAGAGATCTGTTACTCTGGTCATCCAGAATAGTATACAGTCTTATGGCCTTTTCAGGTTGACCTTTGGGGTATATACGAACCAAGCTTATCTTTGCACAGGATTTGTCGCAGAATCCTTCTCCACAGACCTCTGTACATGTGGAGAACACTGGCGTGGTAGGTGCTGCTTGATCTGGGCACTCTCCACCTTGCTTTTCCTCAGGAAGATTGTTTGTGAGCGTAGTAGAGTTGTGCGAATATTGATGAAGAGCTTGCACATGGACATCACTGTCACACTCTATACATTTGATGATCACTTTACAGTCCTTTGCAAAGTGTTCTGTGGAGGTACAGCATTTGTAGCAAACCCCAAATTTCTTCAAAAGTTTGTTACGTTCTTGGAGAGTTCTCTTTCTGAAGCCGATACATTTCTTAAGTGGATGTGGTTTGTTATGAATTGGACATTGGCAATTTGGGTCCTCAATTCTCTTGTTTTGATCAGTCTTTTCAAGAACTGTAGCAGGTGCAGGTAGAACATTAGTCCTTTTCACTAACGTTGGACCTCTATGGTTTCTGTGCGACATACGTGTGCTCATAGGTCTTAGAGAGAGTGTACTGAGCGAATTACAGTCCCCATATGAGAAACTTGGGTCATTCTTAGTGTCTGCATTTCTTTTGATGAACTCGCAGAAGTAGGAAAAGGGAGGAAAGGCAACTCTATGTTCTTTTTTATACTTTGATCCAAGTGCTGCCCATCTTTCTTGAATTCCATATGGTAACTTGAGAATAATAGATTTAATGCCATGAGAGGTGTCAAGGTAACTGAGACCAGGTAAGTTGATGTCAGCCTTAGCAAGTTGAAGCTTTAATAGAACATCGCTGAGTTCTTGAAACTTTAGATTGTCGTTAGCAGAAATCCTTGGGAAGCTTGCAACCTTTTGAATAAAGCATCTTCAATGGCCTCTGGGCTGCCAAAGATATGTTCAAGTCTGCCCCAAGCAGCATTAAGGCCTGCAGAAGGGTTGTCAATTGTCAAGGTCCTACCTTTTACCAGAGGTTATGTTACTCCATGTGCTGGCATCCATCTTGGATTTCTGCTGAGCATGATGGGAATCTTTTATGCCTTCAGGTCTCTGAGGTCCATCCCCCAGAGGGGTGTGGCTGAGTACATATAAGCCTGGGATCTGCACATGCTCTTTGCACTTGTGTCTTGTGTCTTTGTCTTGCTACAGCTCTGTGTATACGCTCGTGACTCTTCTGGTATTCTGACTCGGCTTGTGACTAAGACCATTCTCTGTGTTTCCCTTCGATCTGACCTTCCGTTGCTGAACCCGGCCCGTGACCTGTGATTCTCTGTCTACTGTTCTGTACTGTTTTGTCCCGTTGTTGTTGACCCGGCTTGCCTGACTACGCTATTGTCATTCTCACCAGCTACACGCCATTGACGGCGGCCATTACCGCAGCCGGGGTGTCTCGGGGGCCGCGACCTGGTTCCTGGCTGCGTCAAGTCCATCCCCACCATCAGGGCCCTGGTGAAGGGCAGCCTGGGACTTAGACTCCGCGCCCTGAGGGACTTCGGTCTGTTGGTGGTGGTTGTCGTCAGCCAGTCCGTTACCCTGCCACTAGGCCTACCTGTCCGTTCCACAGCCCTGCCCTGACATCAATAT